TGAAACAAAGTCGTATTTCCATAGCGAAGGTTCGTTGGAATGCTAAACGAGGACCCGAGTTCACCTGGGAACGCGAAGATCAAATGAAAAAAAAATACCCACATCTCTTCCCGAACTCTTGAAGTCCTAGCCAAAATGCAAATTTCGGGACGAAATTCCTTCTAACGGGGGGATGATGTGAGAACCATCAAATTCTGGTCAAGTCAAAGTCAAACAAAGTCAACAAGTCAAACCGGTTAACTCAGTTAACCCTTGTATACTTGGGTTTACATTATGTAATTACTAAACAACTCACTATTTTAATGAGAAAACATCATTTGGAAAAATTCAATTGTTTAATTTTCCTTAACCTTGATAGTGCTAAAAAATGAACCAAAGAGATAAAACACTATTGCACACTCATCGGGAGTGTGTAGGACACTAAAACATGGCTTAACGGGGTTTTCGGATCTTTCATTGCGAAGCCGGATGCTCAAAAAGGTCACAAACGAAACCTCCCTCAATTGTTTTTACTCTATCTCTTTCTATTTGAAATCTCTCCCAAACCTCTCTCAAAAGTTCCCGTAACTTTTTGAAATCATTCGGGTCATCCCGACCCTTAACCGGGTCAAAAATCACTTAAAACGAGGTTAGAACAGGTAAAATACCCTGAAACCCCTTCATAGGGCCGAAGCCTCCCTTGAGCCGAAGCCCAAGGACCAAAACCGAAGCCCTCTTAAGGAACCGCAACTATTGGATCGCAATGAATAAGGACCGGACTTGCTGAACCGAGGCTCTTAGGTAGCCGCAGCCATCCAGCCGCAACTACCGAGCCGAAGCCCAGAGCTGTAGCCGTCAAGCCAACAACCACCGAGCCGGAGTTGCCGAACCCGGAACCAAGCCTCGCTTCAAGCTCGCATTCGGACCGCAGCCTCCCCCTTCTCCCTTGGATCCACACCAGCAGCTAAATGACTCCGGTTTTAGGCTGCTAAGACTGAGACCTCGCCCCTGACTTCGGATTTCCCATTTTTCCACCTGATTTTCAACCACAACTCAGTTTTAAACACGTTTTTAATTATTTTAACAGGGGATTTTTCACCCAAAACTTTATTTTAACATATTAAGACCCATATGTCTTAAATAATATTGTTTTTGATGCAAATCTAATCCAAGATTTAGTGGTTGGAGTAATTAAGGTGGGGTGTTGACATTGCTTACTTTATGACACAAGCAACCACCCCCTTACCCACTCTATGGCCAGTGACTCCTCCTACCATACCTTGGTCATGTCAAGGTGCTTTGTCATCATTTTTCCAGCCTTTCCCACGTTTTAGAGCTGGAACAACTCTTTCTCTCTCTCTCTCTCTCTCTCTCTCTCTCTCTCTCTCTTTCTCTCTCTCCTCATTCTCACTCACTTCTCTCGTTTCTACTAAAAGATCAAACCCACTTTTTTCTCAAATTCTCTCACACAAATTCGAGATTTCCAAGGCATTTTCCATCTTTTCTCCTTCCTTTGGTAAGCATCATCACGCTCCTTATGGTTATTACATTTCCTTTTACTCAAATCATTGACTCCTTACACAAACTCCACCATTTGGATGTTAGATTCTTGAATCTTCAAGTAATCCTTCAAGTGTTCTTGAGTTGAACACTTCTCTCCTTTAACATCCATCCGCTAAAATCACACAAGGTGAGTTCATACCCCTATCTTTTCATTTTTTCTTAAGTTTTAAAGGGGGGGGGGGGGAATACAAGTTAAAACACCAAGAACACCATTAAGTTCTTCTAACAGCTTTCAACAGAAAAGTTAATGTTTATTCACAGACTGTTTTGATCAACTTAAACATTTTATTTTTCAAAACTGTTTTACATGCAAATATTTCAGGTTAATTTAGACCTTTAAAATGACTACTTGTACATCTTTATACAATTTTTCTACAATTTATGGTGATTTTTACAAAACTGCCTATCATTTCAAGAACAAATCCGAACCAGTCTGTGATTATGGACTTTTTCGAACAAGTTGGAGGTCATTAAAAATAACAATAAAATTGATGAATAAACTAGACTCATTTCCCAAACTCTCAGAATTTACGGATTCTGATTTGGACCTTTCATGATTTTTCTATAAATTTTCTAAAAACAGTAATAGAAATGTTAACACTAGAAAAATGCTATCAACTTCGTTTGCACCTTGTAACTTGTTGAGCAAGGTGTGTATCATTATGTGAATATATGTTTTTACATCACATGTCATTTCGTGTTGGTGTATTTACATACATCAGAAAACAAATGGATTTTTACCTTCATAAGTATGGTAATTAATTAGTTGTTATGTTACATGTTATTTCACTTTAGTAAAAGGTATATGTATATATATACCAGTAAACAAAAAGAGTTTTTACCTTCACAAATATAGTAGTTATTCATAATAAACAAAGTTATAAATATTACATTTAAACGTTTTGATAAACTATAATAGGTATAGTTTATGATCTATTTACTTTTCGAACTCGTTATAAAATGTTTATTCATAAGTGGGGTACAACTATAAAGTGCCAGTTTATTCATTAAGTGGGGTACAACTATAAAGTGCTAGGTTATTCATATAAATGGGATACGAATACAAAGTGCCAGGTTTTCACGTTAAGCGGGGTACGGTCATACGGTACCAGGTTATATATTAAGCGGGGTACGGCCATACGACACCAGGTTATACATTAAGTGAGGTACGGCCATACGGTACCAGCTTAAGCGGGGTACGGTCATACGGTATCAGGTTATACATTAAGCGAGGTACGGCCATTCAATACCTGGTATTCATATAAAAAGGGTACATGACAAAGTACCGGGTTTTTCTTTCAACTAAATGAGTTTATGTCGATTTGAACTTGCATGATTTATTTTAAGCATGGAAAATTACTTATACATTTGGTCTTGAATTTTAAGACTACAATACATTTTATAAGGAAAATATTGGATTTTTCTTGGTAACACACAACTCATTATAAAGAACGGTCTCCAAACTCTTCGTCTAAAAAGTCTTATGAATTCACCAACTTAATTGTTGATACTTTTCAAAACTACTTGTTTTCTCAGGTAATCAACGAAATCAGCAAATCCCAAGCTTTTGAGGATGGTACGCTACGACGTTGAACAACTATTTTCATATAATGTTGTAAGCAATCATTGAAATATGTAGTACTTGAAACCATGTACTTATTTTCTGATTATATTTATGATTTGTTGTATTTACTTTGAGCACTATTATACTCCTTGTTGTGATACTATTCATGAAGTCCGCCACCCCCAGACGTTTCCGCCATCCTTGGTTTGAGGGTGTGACATTCTTCCTCTCTCTTTTCTTCACATGTTTCGGTCACCAACACTCACCACTACCACCCTGTTCTCTCTTTAAAAATTATAGACACTACCCCATGCAAATATGCTTTTAACCTATTCCGTGAAGTGTTTGTTTGATTTTGTAGTTGTTTTGTTTTGTATAACAAGGCAAGGCACCCCATGTGTTCGGTGGAATGCCCCAAATAAGATGCACATGCTTATTATGCTCCATCTCTTCTCCTTCTCATGCCCATAGTAGGGATTATTGATGTGTATACATATACTTCGATTTTGTTTTTCATCTTTTTGGCAACTTTGAGTTGTAACAGTAACTATTTTGCTTCACGTTTGTTTTTTTACTCTTTTGAGAAGGACTTCAAAAAAAGTCGAAAACTCATGGTGTTCCAATAGGTTTGATTTTATTTTCTTTTCATCGCAAGTTTTTTTTTTTTTTTTTTTCGAATTTATTGTGTTATTGAAGCTGGGAGATATTCTGTTTTTACTTCAACTGAATCAATAACTGTTGGTAAGTTTCACTACAAGAAAATTCCTTCTTAGCGACCAAGTTTTTAGTGACAACCGGAAATCTGGTCACTAACAACAATCATTAGTCACCAAATATTAAGTGGTCACTGAATTTTGGTAGTGGTACATGTATAGTGACCAAATCTGAGATTGTTGTCATTGAGTGGTCACTAAAAATCATTATTGTTGTTTAATTTTATAACAAGTATTAGTGACTAAATTTAGTGGTCACTAATTTGACGTTTAATGACCAAATATAGTTGTCACAATATTGGAGACTTAATGACCAAAAATAGTGGTCATTAAGTGCTATTCGATTTTCAAACCCACTTATTGTGATGACATAATAGTGGTCACTGTATGGAAAGAGTTTAGTGACCAGAAAATAATGGTCACTGACATAGTAAAAAAAACTAATTGATTTAACTACTTTTTTATTTAAGAAAACAATATAAATTTATGTTTTTTCACCAAATTTTTTCTAAACAAATATATGAAAAAAATATATAATGTGTTTTCTTTCATATACATAGAACTATAATTTTTGATTTTGTGTCACTTATTGAATTATTTTTATTACGATAGCTTCCAACTTAAATACTTAATAAAATTACTTAATTTAAAAAAGTTTTTAATCAAATTACTTAGGTTATAAATGAAAACCGAAGAAGCAGACATACATTTGTAAAAATCATGATTTTAAGTATATACTAAAATACATCAATTATTCTCGTCAATATATAAATACTACATCTGTATGAATTGGGAAAAAATGATAATTATAACATAGTGGTCATAAAATATAACAAAATCATTGGTGACGATTGGCCAAACTTCATAAAATCATTGTCGACTATCACGACTGAGATGGAAATATATAAAGGAACAAATTAATATAATAAAGTTTAAAAAGTGTGGTCAAATAGGTGAAACTAAAGTCATTCGGGAAAAACTTCAAAAAATAAAATGTTTTAGGCCAATTGTGCAGTAATAAAAAATTAATAAGTGCGGGGAAGAGGGGAAGACAAACCAATACTGGCGTTGTCGATAACCTACCGAGCAGAAACCCTTCGTCACCTGTTGTTCAGTGTTCACTTTCTCCAACACATTAATGATGGCAGAAGTAGTACACTACAAGCTCCAACGCATAGTCAATGGGTGCCATGGCTTATTCTCTCGCCGTGGAATTGCCGATATGGTCAAACAACACTGAAAGTCCCCTGAAACATGATTACTTAACACATATCGACTACGAGAAATCTCTCGATGTGCTCCTTCTCCTCCGTAAGAAATGGATGAACCAGAGACATCTTCAACAACTTTGAACATGTAAGAACATCTCTTACTCTATTTATTTGAAGCTCTAACACATCAAACGTCCTTTATTTGGAAAACTCTTGCAGATTTGAATAATTTGTGAAATTGAAAGAGTTTTAAATATTCTACATACTTTTTTTAATCTTGCATGTGGTGTTTCTTTCCTATTTCAGTTTTAGTATTCATCGACTGCCTTAGACCTATCTTTTCGGCATCTAGGGATTACAGTTCATCTTCTCCTCCTATTCAATAGCATTTTCACTACAGTTGTTCGATGAAATGCTTACATGAACTGGGAGTGCATTTCTAATGTGGGCCTGCATCTCGTTGGACTTATTGCACATATAGTTTTCCACTTCAAGTTGCTTCTTAAAGTTTCCTGAATGATTGGTTGTACTTGAGTATATCTATCTCTTTCTATTCGTAATCGGTGATCTCTTTCTCTCTGTCATATTTTTTTGAAAACTGTGGATTCCAAGGGTTGTATTAACCTCTTGTTGCACTCCTCTATAAGCATACCATTACCATTACCTTCTTCAGGTTTTCTCAGACACATATCAATATTTTTTGTGAATGAATTGATGTAGATCTTTGAGATAAGGCCTCTTTTCTTGCTGTCAGGTCAACATTGAGTTTGGCATTTTGATAGGAAAGTTTTGTTACTTATGCAGCTAAGTTTATGAGCTTAATTGCTGCAGCTACAGTCAGCTCATTTGCATATGAACCTTCATCTGCTAACCTTCTTAATTCCCTGGTGAAAATTTAGGAACTTTGATAAGAGCATTTAAAGCCTCCTTCTTGGCTTTCTTTGATGGGATGTCCTTATATTTGATGCCTAAATGGGTAAGTTCTTTTGCTGAACTTTTTTTTCACTTATTCACATTCTATTTTTTAATATATAATCATGATTCCCTCCTTTCTAAACATAAGGGCAAGGACAAAACAGTTGAAGAAAGAAGGATTGTGATAAGAATGAAAATACTAATTTATCTCCTTAGGCTTGAAACCTGTAGGTTCAACAACAAAATACTAGATTCAACAATAAAATAGTAACTAAGAAGCAAATCTCTTCATTCAAATGGATAAACAAAGACATTCAAAGAAGAATCATAATGATTCTCTCTGCCCAAGCATTAATCATAAGGTCAACACACCATTGTTGTCTCCTGTGTCTCTTTTGTAACTCCTTAGGCTTAAAGGTTGTAGGTTGGACCTGATGTTATTTTCATGTGGTTGGACAGTGTCGTGAACCAACTCTAAAGTATAAAAAATTATCCACTTTTATACTTGATCATGTTTACTAATCTATCTTTTTTTAATATAACTTTTTTTATACGTGAACAGGTATTACGATACATATATTCCTTTTCTTCATCGATTTGAATCCAGATGTCCACCAGGTCAGCATGATTATTGATTATTGATCCAGATTTTGTGTTTTCTTATAAACTAACCATATAACCATTTTTTTCAGGCAACTATATATGGACTTGGAGTGTGCAGAGTATGGTGGTTCTGTTAAAAACCATAAAACCACTAGTTGGTGTTGGAGGTACATAATACATATCATCATTTGTATTTTATATTTACTTGATTTTTTTAATATTATTACTTCAAGTTTTGTACATTTTTTACTTTCAGAGGCTCTCTCAAGGCTAAATGTTGTAATAAGACACTATAAGGCTCTTCATCCTAAGAATGTGATTGCATATGATGATGCGGTTTCTGATTTGGGGAAAATATGTTATTTTCATTGCGATAGTATCGAATTAGCAGATGAAGGTATGTTCATGATTTATTTTATGAATTGTGATAATTGTTATATTTTTTTTCAATAAAATACATATATAATTTGAAACTTGCACAGATTATTCCTATCTGGTTAAGCTTTTTTCTGATTAAAGGACATCTTATTATGGCTAAAGTTGTCAATGAGCTACTTTGTTCAATGGCCGAAAGGTATGTGGGTGTATACGATATTATATAGCAACAAAGTTTCATTTCTTTTTATATTGTAATGTTTATAACCAAGTCAACCCTTTATACTACAGGTCAGACACTGCATCTCCCTAAAATTGTATTTGTTGAGGTTAGCTGCCTCTAATACTCATTTTTCGTCCTTCCTTTTTAGGGTTAAATGCAAGAAATAGCAATGTACTTTGATTTGTTTGTTATAGCATTCTATTTTCGTTTTTTTTCTGTTATAGCATTGTACTTTGAAAAATCTACCACTTATAAGCATGTCATCCAGATACAAAGAAACTCATTGCTATAATTCAATAATTTGGTAGATTTTTACAAGTATAATGTCCTAATAAGAAAAAATTGATAATACAATGCTATATTAAGATAGATTTCAAAAGTATAATGTCCTAATAAGCTTTTTTCTTCCTTGAGTGAAGACTTTGTAACTTTACTATATCTTCCTCTTTTTCTATGTTATTTTTAGAAAAATATTATATTTCTATTATGATTTATCATTTGACTTTGCCCTTTTAAGTTAGTTGTTAGCTAAGAATGATTGCATGTCTTGATGCAGATTTACATACATGATATAAGGTTGATGATGTGAAGTTATGGATGAGCTCAAGTTGATTTTAGAGAATTCTGACCATGACTTTGACTTGACTAATGAAAGAAAAGTTTGCATTGATGGAGAGGTATGTCATGTGGCTTTTTAATTGTTATTTTTTGTTTGATAGAAAAGCTTCCACTCTAGAATAAATGAACAAAATGGATGGCAAGACTCAAGAGGCCATGAAAATTGAAGACTGATTTTTTTCCCTCTTTTCCTTTGTTTTCCACACAATTCACATTTCTTTAAAACTTATCGGGTTATATCTTGTGAAATCTGATGCATTTTTTTTCTTATAGGTGATTCTGAACCTACAAAGATGTTGACAGAACAGCTAATTTATCAAACAATCAGATAATCAACTATTATTATTCTAGGGTTTAAGATGAAGGGAAAGATACCCGATGAATATAAGAGAATTTCTTGTTAGCATTAACTTGTTACCCGATGAATATAAGCTAAAAATAAACATAAATTATATTATTGTATTATTATTTACAGATTCAGTGGCAGATGTATTCTTCTTCCTAATTGACGAATCAATTTGTAAATTGGTTAAATACAAGAATTATCAACCAAAATCAGTGACGACTTTTTATGGTCACTATTTAGATAAAATACTGACGACTTTTTATGGTCACTATTTAGATAAAATAGTGACGACTTTTTATGGTCATTATTTAGATAAATCAGTGACGATTTTTTATTGTCACTAATTAGATAAAATAGTGACGACTTTCATTGATTAGTGACAACATTAAGTGACGAAACGGGTCGTCACAGATTAGTGACCAATATATTCTAGTCACTATTTAGTGACCACCTATATATTTTGGTCACTAAATCAGTTTTGTGACGGACCTATAGTGACGAAAAGTGACGATCATAATTTTGGTCACTAAATCAATTTGTTACAACTCTTTCTATTGTTAATGACCATTTCGTTTTCGTCACTAATTGACACTTTTTTTGTAGTGTTTCTTTTATATTTTCCCTAAATTTTTTCTATATAGCTTTAATGGTGCTCTATGCGTCCCTTTCTCAATTTTATACCAATATATGTTTGATATTGGAAAGAAGTAAAACAAAACAGAATCTACCCTGTGGATTGAAATCAGTGGAAAATTGGCTCTTTTGAATGGGCCATTATGTAATCTATTTCTGGCAATTGTTATCTAATTATTTAGTGTATCTGATAATCAGTTATAAGTTTTACCACCCATCTCCTTTAATATATAAGCAGATAAGCTTTATTTGAATGTTTCTCAATCTGTGGAAGTAATTTTTTTAGAGAGGATGCATATCTTATTCCATGCACATCTAAAAAGGATTCAAAATAACACGTTGGTGAGAATGCCCTTTGCAGCATGGTTGATGAAAATTTTACATCACATGCTTTATAGATGTTGATTTCCATAAAAATTCTAAATAATCAAATTTGTTTTATTGATGTTTTATTACTTATTAGTTATCATACTCTAGATATAAGGTTAATTCTAGAAACAACGTGGTATTATCCACTACCCAAATAAAATCCATTTTATTAAGTTGATGATCTTATCGGTACTTGAACAATATTCTTTGCAATTAGGTTAGTTCATAATGCAATTAACAGACTTTCTTGAGGGATTTCGGAAGGAAGATATTGAGATTCTAATATTTTGTTGGGATTCAAAATTGGAGGTTGATATGTTTTCCGGTTGAATACCCTGATAGTGAAATTCTAACTATTTTTCTCGCTATGTTCAACACTTCAAAAGTAAGTGGATTGAGGAGTATGGCTTTCTTTTTTGTAACACATCGAATGGAGGATGAGTTTTAATTGGCAAAAATAAAAATCAAATTGTAAAGTGGCTTCTATGGAGGTGTAACTTGTGTTACTCTTATTTTAAAAGGTATTGAAAGAGTAGTACAATAGATTGATAAGGAAGTAACATGACTTGAAATTCAATAACATATATATTATTAATGTCAAATTTGAACAAAAGGCTACACTGGGCCTTTTTGGAGTAAAAGGATTTTTTTTATGATTTGTATTAGTTATACTACCATATATTTCTCAAAATTGTTTACAAAATAAAATAAGAATAATAAAATAACGATATTTTCGCTTCAAAGCGTTTAGTTGTTCATTTATATTTTTATTATAAGTTAGCATCTTATTTCATTGTTTCCTTCCTTTTTCATATTCCTAAGACAAATAGAAATATTGTTATATGTTACATTGGGTTGTTTTCAATTGTTACAAGGCTAGAAGTCAAATGGTCCACCTCATTTTGGACTTGAGGAGTAGTTAATTCTTTTTTGGTTGTTTGTATGTGTTCATGATAAGTTTAGAAGAAAGTATTTTTGTTATCTATTCAGGATATGCACAGAAGAAAAATCTTTGGGTTTTGAGGAAATAGTGTCGGTATATTGTATAAAGACAGTACCACAAGTATGGTTTGCATGCAGTGGATCCATAACTGCAAATGTGTATTACTACATATGAAATGGAACCTTGCCATCGTTAAAAGCATTTGGAATCGAACAACATATAATAAAAGTAATATCCATCCATATTACAAAAAGAAGGATGTATGAATAACTTCTAACAAATTAGTTTTACCTCAAATATTTTGTTATTTGATTTGTTTTATAGTAATATTTTTTATGGACATTATATGCATTAGGAAGGTCTAAATTTCATTTTATTATTAACACTTTTATTTTAACATTTAGATAGAATGCACATATTTTTTTGGGCTTTAAAATAACACGACTTAATTGTTTCGGTAACTGTTACATTAGGTTATATAAAAACTTTTAAATATTTTTTTAAATTATTTATATTTTAACAAAATAAGTAAATTACAATAAAAGGTGTCATGTTTATTAATTTTGTTAGGACAAAAGTAGAAATTCTAATTATACTAAAAAAAGAAAACTTAATCGGGTTTTAATAAAAAATGAATATTTTTATAAAAATCAATAACATAAATTTATTTTTAATACAAAACAAAACTTTCTTTCTCAAAAAAAAAAAAAAAAAAAAAAAAAACATCAACACACTTATATTTTTAATCGAAAACATCAACGTACTTTTAAAAGGGACATTTCCAAACATCAAAGAAACAACGAAAGAAAACTGATTAGTCGAAAAGTTACTTGTGTTGAAATATAACATTTTTCCTAATGAAAATAATTGGCACAATGATTTCATTATGTCCATCTAAAGATGACATCTCCCATTCAAGAAACAAACACCGAAAAAAAGTCAATTTGTCGAAAAGTTACTTGTGTTGAAATATAACATGTTTCCTAATGTAGATAATTGCACAAGTATTCCATTATGTCCGTCTAAAGATGACATGTGTCATTCAACCTCAATGGATAACAATTTCCAATTTGATTATGTTTTGCGATAACAATCAATGAAGATCAGAGATAAACAATTCCAAATGTACATATTTATCTTTCAGAATCGGTTTTCTTGCATGACCAACTTTATGTAGTATTATCCAGAGGGATATCATGTATCAATACAAAAATTATTAGTGAAGTTGTTGGACGATTCAACAGCAGTGAAGTCTATACATCAAATGTGGCGGAGAAAAAAATGTTGCACAATTAATAATGCACAATCAACCATATCTTCATGTACATTTGTAAAGAATATCAAGATTTCATTTTTATTTCTTATTGATTTCTTTTTTATTAGCATGACTCTTATTTATAAATGTTTATATGTATTAAACTATTTGGGCAAAAGAACTATTCGTCTATAGAAACTAACTTCTCGAAAAATTGTTCACACTCGTCGCTTAGAGTGGGTAAATGGCTAGTATTTATATGTATGTATGTATGTATATATATATATATATATATATATATATATATATATATATACATGTATATCATCACATATGATTTATATGGAAAAAGTTCATTTTTCTACATATAATTCATATGTGATTAGATACATATAATCACATGTGATTATATATATGAGAACAATTATTGAATCGAGAAAACGAACAAAATACAACCACCACCACCCATTACCCACCACCCACCACTCCCCCCACCATCACCCGCTACTACCACCCCACCACTACCCACTACTTACTAAGACCCACAAACTACCACCATCACTTATTACCTATCACCACCTACTAAACACCACTACCAACCATCACCACACCCCACAACCCACAACCACCACCACCAACACCCACAATCCAACATGTTATTATATGTATGTAGTCACATATGATTTATTTGGGCAAGAAAATAAATCTTGTGCGTATTAATCATATTTGATTAAATACATACAATTGCATGTGATTTATTATAAAAGAATAACTATTGAATAAAAAAACACGAAAATGAATCTTATTTATACTAATCATATCTGATTATATACACGAGAAGACCCATTGAATCAAGAAAATGAAAACAAATCTTTTTCACATAGAGCATAAGTGATTAAATACTTATAATCACATGTGATTAAATA